GAGATAACTAACAGTATCAGCCCATAGGCTGCAGGGCCACAGAGAAACGGAGGGGCCCACTGAGGCTGCTTACCCTCCCTGTATTTCCTACGCAGTTTTCTGTGGACGTTTTTAACGACTCCCGACAGTTTCTCCTGCTCCTTCTTGCACGGTGCTTCACTTGGAATTGGCACGTAGAATAGCTCCGACTGGTTTTCCGTCTCCCCGGTCTCGACATTGTCCCTGGGGTCCATAGCACCGCACCACCGATGTTACCCTCCGCCAGTCGTTTCCCCTTTTCCAGGCTGCAACCCGACCGGCGAACCGGCGCACGAGCCAACAACAGGGAAGCCGATTGGCTACCTGGAGCATACACGCGTCATAAACTGACAGCGCGTCGTCCAATCACAGGCGTGGAAGCATTCTTGAGCTGGCGTGCGTGCTGCGAAGCGTTCAGGTGCATTTGGAAATCTGTAAATTGCTGAAAAATCGTAAACAACACATCAGAAAGTGTTGTTTTGTGTTTTGCAAAAGTTTTTATCTACAAAAGAAAACTAAACTTTGTTTTTTAGCCAACTGATTTATTCGTTTAACCCCTAAAACTATTCAAAGATAGTATATTACAAAAAATGTATGTTCTTAGACAATATCCCACTGAACTGAATAACTTTTTGTGTGTTTTTGTCATTGTTTGCTTTCTTTTATTAGTTCTCCAATTAAAATATTGGACATGTGTTGAAGAAACTACTGGAAGCCCTTCCTGTAAAATAAATTTGCTAGCATTATGTATAAAAACCTTGTTCTGAAAAAGTTGGGACACTGTATATTATGCAAAATGACATCAACGTCATCATTATCACAATATACAGTATCACCAACAGGTGATGAGACTCTGGAGAAATCTCTGTGTGCAAGGGAAGAGGCTGAAAATCAAAACTGGATGCCCTATGGCAGCACTGTCATGTAAATCACTGCACAAGCTCAGGAGCACTTCCAGAAATATCTCACTGTGAACATAGTTCAACGTGCCATCCTTATATATCATTTCCCTTCTTTGCATGAAGCCAAACGATTTTTATATTATAACAGACCCATATATAGGATCTAGTCCCCCGCCTCCAACCCTCATCATGATTTAAGACAGGGTCACTGGAGAGGATGTTCTGTCCTGTTAAATGGGATAGTGTAAGAAGGATCATTTCTAAAGCTGTACAGATATTAAACCTTTGAAAAGATGATGCAATGTTTTCTAAAATAGGCTAAGAATTTGAAAACCCACAAGTGATGCCAATCCATGGTTATTGTTTCTGGAAATTGGCTTGGAAAATCCTGATGGAGAGCATTATAGTCTGAGATGGTAATTTGACTCTGGCTAATGAAAACAAACTGACACTGTCTGAACAACAGGGGGAAAAGTTAAATACCATATATGTCAATGCTGTTTGCAGGACAACATCTATTATTAACTGCATGTTCAGTCATTTCAGAATATGAGGTAATGCCTTACGGTGGACACTGTGTAACCCCAATGAAAATAAAATAGTCACTAAATCCACATTGGTAGTGGACTTATTACATCTGTGTTCAGCAGAACCATGTCCACATGGACTCGAGGTAATAACAAATATTAGAAATCTACAGTTTTATCACAGGGACTACATTCTACAACATGAATAAAATTTTAGATGCCTTCCTGTTGTGTGTGGCTGATCATGTCCGTCCCTTTATGACCACAGTATTCCTATTTTCCAGTGGACGCTTCCAGCCGCCCTCACGCAGCTCCAGCTATTTCTCGACAATAACAATCTCTATGAGAAGTTCCAGTCTGGTTTTAGAGCTCGGCATAGCACAGAAACTGCCCTACTGAGAGTTTTTAACGATTTGCTTTTAACTGTTGACTCTGGTTGTGCTGCTGTCTTAGTAACCCTGGACCTGACAGCAGCCTTCGACACTGTTGATCACAACAT